GTTACTATAATATGACTTCATGTAGGCTATGCTTTCTAATGTTGACATCAGCTTCCAAATCCAAAACATTTTGAATATAGCAAGAAACAAAGAGTATGCAATGTAACCATCTAATTTATTTTCAAATCCTCATTCTTAAAAGTGAAATTCCATATTTTGGAAATTTTGCATGAAATCTGTCAACCACGTTGTCAAGGTCGAGGTTGCTTCACCTATCACGATGTATTCCAACCATCATGAGGCTATCTAAATGAGCATTTGTCATAACAGAACGCAAATTATTTTTAATTATTCTCATTGAATTATTATTATTATTATTATTATGTTATTATTATTGTGGTTGTTGTTGTGATGAAAAGTTAACACAAACGATATGGTGGATAAACTAATATTACATGTAAATATTTTTTTTAATTTGTTCCGCGACAAAATTTATCGTCCTCCCCGACGGGGGGTGGGGGATATGGTTCCCCGACGGGGGGATATCCTCTGGCGCCACCCCTGCTACCGCCTATCTCATGGTAGGCCCTTGCTCTTCGGCAGGCCCAGCTGGCTAGGGCCTAGGCTAGCGGCTAGGCAGGCCTATTGACTTCGCTAGGCTAGGCCTAGCCTAGCTAGAGACCCAGGGCTAGGTTGCCCAGCAGATCCATCAAATGTTACAGTAAATTTTACTTGTATTTTAACGTCCCTGTACTCTTTTTTCATAATGGTTTTTACAGAATAGGCCTAGGCCTATATGATAATGTGCTGTTTTAACATATTTTTTTTGTTTTTTGATATCCATACTTTTTGTCATCGTTTGCTGTCTTTTTATTCATTTTAAACAATTTTAATTCTTTTTAAAGTATAAACAAGCAATAGTTTACATTTTTTGGAAGTATGAATTTACTTTGACTTTGAGTGCTGGAGACCATCCTAACTTGTGGGAGGCTTGGGACCCCTGTATTCCCTGACGAGGAAGTCTGCTTCATATTTTGCCATCAGGAAACAAGAATGCATTTTTTTTTATTCCAGCATTATTAACAACAAAAATGCAAACATGTACACAACTTTATTATTACTTTTAAAAATGTTTATGAAATTACTTGAATTTATTTGGTAGGCTTAAAGCTCTCCGTCTAGTACTCCATTGAAGCCAGTTGGCATCTCAGAAACTCTTTGCCATGGCGGATAAAGACGGCGATGACCAGAAGGAGTATGGTGGATGTGAAGGCCCAGATGCAATGTATGTGAAACTCGTCTCATCTGACGGACAGGAATTCATCGTAAAAAGAGATCATGCCCTGACATCTGGAACAATCAAGGCTATGCTTAGTGGACCAGGTTAGGTTTGGTATACTGTGCTGTGCTTTCTTGGGTAGTGAAAAAAAAAACAGTGCTGTAGGCCTACTTGTTGTTTAAGATTAGAGCCAAGAATTGTAATGGTTGTTAAATGGTTCTTCCGATTTTTAGGTGGTCAGCTTTACTGTGTAAATTTGAATTCTACTGTACAGGAATCGACATGTCTGCCAGTGCAGGTGATACCTACAGTAACTACTACTGTATACTTCACAGTTCATGGGACTGGACAAAAATGAAAAGAACATATTTACTTTAGAGAACAGCATCTTAAATTCAGTTACTGTGAGGACAAATAAATTCTGAATCTTGAGCATAGTTATTGTAAGACTAGTTGGAAACAGTACGATTATGGTGTGAGTACACTATTTAACCGTAACCCTCTTAGGTCAAGCAGCATTTAAACCAAATTCAAATTTCGGATCGGATGGCTTACTGAACTGATCAGAAAATCGAATCAGTGTGTAAGAATAGGGACGCTGGCGTTCAGTGCATTGGTTTCGGTTGGGATCCAACGTGAATGCGGCTTTAGACTGTGGAAATATGTTGACAATTACAATTTTTTTTCTTTAAACACTTTAGGACAATTTGCTGAGAATGAAACCAATGAAGTAAACTTCAGGGAGATTCCGTAAGTATCGCTTGACTTGCTTCTGTGTACTTTTAAATCCTATTCTTATACTTAGTTTCATCCAAGGGGTTAGGAAAAATTGTGAGAAGAAGGATCCAGATTCTGCTAACCGTTAGCTGCCGTGTGAGAACATAGGCTACTGTATATCTCTTTTTACATTATTGGTGGCACTGAAAAGGTTCATTTGTTTTGAGTATTTTTGGGGGTTTTGATGACGTCATCGTCCGTACTTGGTGTGCATAAAACTGAGGGTTTATATAACTGAGGTACGTAAAAATGAGGATCTGCTGTATTTCCTTTTAGTTCACTGCCAGAAGTGTCCCCTTAATTAGTGTGTCCCAAAAAGGTGTTTTCCTGTAGAAGACATAATAGTGCTTTTTTAAAAATAAAATTTACGAATTTTAATGGATTTAAAGACATCCAACTAAATTTGCCTATATTGAGTATATTTACAGAAAAAATGTAACTAAGATTTGTGTTCAAACCTGTGTGATTGCACCTTGCATAGAAGTAAATTTGAACTCATGGCAAGGCAAGTGGCAGTAAGGCAAGGATGGCACTAACTACAGCCTTAACATCGGCGCTGGTTTGAGCTGCTCCTTACCCAGGGTTCGGTTAGTAGAAGAACCAAGTCTTCTCGGATAAAGACTTAAAATGGCAATTCGGTCGTTCTATTATGTGAACATGTAGCTACTAAATAAGTACCTCTTTACCACGCCCATACACAATTCAGCACAATGATTATTCTCTTACCTTAACCATAGCTTTAATGCGGAGTCATATTTTTTAGTGATAATGCTATGTGTTGAGTATATGGATGGCAGTACATTGAATACTTTCCACTAGGATTGTCAACTTTATATGTGGCAAAGACAAGCCAAACCAGTCACTCGTCGCAAATCCTATTTCGGAGATAATTTTGGAAATCTATTTTATTCCACTAAACTAACCTTTATATTTATACATGCTATGCTGTTATTTCCCCATTTTCCATATTAAAACAAACATTTTTAATGGTTTGGTGATAGTTTCTGCCTAAGAAATGCCTGAAATTGTAAACTTTGAAGGCTGATTTTTTAAATAATGTTCTTTAAACAGCCTTATACAGTATGTTTAAACTCCTGTAACTTCATAACGAAATGTCAGATTTAAATGATTCTTTTACCATTTTATAGCTTTCATTTTACTGTTTAACCCTGTATTATTAACTAAAAATTGATTTTGTGATGAGTGACTGGTTTGGCTGTGCCACATGTATTGTTTTTCTTGCTCCTAATTTTTATGTATTGTTTTCTTCTTTTCAAGGTCGCATGTTCTTTGTAAAGTTTGCATGTATTTTACGTACAAAGTGAGATACACCAACAGCTCTACAGAAATCCCAGAGTTCCCAATCGCACCAGAGATCGCCCTTGAGCTGTTGATGGCAGCTAATTTCTTGGATTGCTAAGCTTGTAGAAACCTTTATTTTTTTTCTTTTTTCCATGTTAACTTTTCTAAGTTAGCAATACTGTCATATGTGGGGTGGGGGTGTGTTATTTTGAGGTGTAAGTGCTAATCAAAGTTTAATTCCTACGAGTGTTTTACTGTGGTGGTCTAGATGAGATTATTATATGTATTGTAGGCAGGCTAAAATTTAAATTGTGCCGTTATAATTTATGTAACTAATGTAGCTTTGGTTTTGGTGTTCCTTAAAAGAACATCTTAGCAGGGAATACTAAAATATTTCAATCTGTATTGTCAACTTATTTTCAATGTAGACTGTGCTGAGTGCAGTCTTTTTTCGAGAAAAAGTTGAAATGCTTCTCAAATGTTAAAATGTTTTTTAAAGCATGGGAGTATATTTACTGTACTTTTTTTACAGTAACTGTAATGAATTGATCCTGAAAACATTTTTCTGTCAATATTGCTATCGTGAATACCGTACATATGGTCTGCTTTTATCGTCTGACCCTACAGCTACATAAAATATGTAAATATTCAAGATATATTTAATAATATCAATAAATTGGTTACAAAAGTGGCAATGCTGGAGAAGGTTGTAGTATAAAGTTCATTGCAGATTGTACAGTATTCATTTTCAGTGATCTTTTATATGTATGCTACAGTAATCTAGGAATATACATGTTTATGTTATCGCTACAATGCAGCAATTTAATCATTTTTAAGGGATGACCACCTCCTCATAAACTAAAGAAGTATAGTCCAAATTATGTACCAAATGTGCTAGTTTTAAGGTACACTGTACATGTACACATGGTGTTTCAATTAACTTGTACCATGAAATATTTTTGTTACCATATTTACAATTATTTATACTCTTGTTTTCAATTATTTCAAATATAGCTTTAGTACAATTTATGTGGTTTAAGTTATTTTTTCAAAAGGGCAAAATATATAAATTTTTAATTTAGTTTTGATTACTTAGTGTTGGCACTTGATGCAAATTCCAAAGTGTGTCTACCTTTTTGTCTATCCTTTAATGACAGAAATGATGCTATTCATCTTTGCAGTTCTTAACTATTGTACTAATGCAAATATAGTTCTACCATTTTGTAAAGAATGTATGTATTACAGTACATTCTAGCATCTAACTAATGTACAATTTTCAGTCTACTTGGTAGTATGCGATATCCCTTAATATAAATTGAATTTGAGGGTAATATTAAATTCAAGTCTGTACTGTAATTGTAGCAGTGAAGTAGTAGTGGGCAAGTTGTTAGTTCCCAAGATTGCAAATAAAAACGATGAATTAATGTAAAAACATCTCAATCTTTTATTTCTTTTAGCTTCATAAAGTAGGTTCAGAATAAACTTTTTAAAATTTCTTGCATTGAATCTGGTTTTACTACTTTAGGAAAGTTAATTTCCATTTCTGTTTGTATTATTTAAAACTTCAAATAAACACTATACAGTACCTCTAATTTATATGCAGTTTCCATTTTAATCAAACCATAAACAATTGTAAAAGACCAACAAGGCTAATAAACAGTCAGGACAGTGGTGCCTATACAAGAAAGGCGTTAATCTGATCATTTACAGTATCTGCATCTTCTACAGTATACCTTACTTGAACAAATTAAAAAAAAAAAAAACATTGGTCAAAGAAAAAAAAAATTTCCTTTCATTTTCGCAAAGCAGCTCCTAAATTTGCAAGTCTGTCGGCTTCTTCATTTCCTTGAATGCCCTTATGGCCAGGAACATGTCTCTGTAAATAGATTTAGAAATGATATATTATATATCAGCAGTTATACATAATGAATTATGCATGCATAATGAATAATGATTGTGCATGCAGCGTAGTAGTAACAAAGATAGTGGAGGCAATGAAAATGATAAAAAATTATCCTATAGCTTCTTGTTTTGCTGATGACTTGTGTTGGAGATATGAACAGCAAAATGAGTGCAGGATAATGAATATGAAATGATGGTTTTTACAAAATCTGCGGTGGCTTAAGCTTGTGTGTTCATGTTTATATGCCTATTGTCTATTGCCTCAGACAGTTCACAATTGCCACACAGAAATAAAAGTAATTATGTCTATGAATGTTTTAACTACTGAAGTTTGTCGCCATGATATATAACTTTTCAAGGTCGAAAAATTTTGAATTACCTACCAGAAGATCTGATGAAACTTTCAAATACGAATACAGTAATTTTAAATATCAATTACATTTATACCTTGTCTCAGCTATAAATTGATTTTTTTTTAATGTTTATATTGTCAATAATATATACATAGAAAAGAACAATATTCAATTTTACACTAAATAATAAATTTATTTGAATTGAATGTAAAATAACTAACCCATGTAACATTAATGTCCTGCCTTGCTTCATCCAAGTCCTCAATTAAATCTCTGTTTACAACATTGCCATTTTTACTTGTTTTCCATCCATTTTCTTTCCATTTATCTATCCAATCTGTAACACCTAATTCAAAAAAATATATATGATGAATGTAGGAATAACATACAATTCAAATATGCTACATTATACTTACTTTCTTATTCTAGCAATAACATAATAAGTACAGTAATGTTATAATATATGATATGGAAAATAAAAATATATCATATCAATAAAAATATAAAATCCATATTTATATACTGTTGTTTCTCAGGTATAATAAGCCCAAGTTATAGGTGGGTTGTATCCAAGAAACTTCTGTATATTCATAACATGCCTGTGCATATTGCACTGATTATCAAAATGTGCTTCACATTTACAGAAGGAAGTGGCTAGTCTCCTTTGCACAGAACACAAGGGCTGTGGCATTAGCCTGGACTCTACTACTCCTTGCCAATGCTGTTGTAGACAGACAAGAGTAGCCGGTACCGGTCTACCGGGTAGCTCAGACGTGAAGAGACCCTTAGCGAGTTACTATAAAACCTGTATCCCACACCTTAAGCACTATGAGACCATTTCGTTATAAAGCGCTACATAAATCTAATTCCATTACATCATATTACATTTCTACCTTTAAAGAGAAACAAAAAACGATCACATAAAAATTAAAACAAATTATGTATAACATCTCTAGATTCTAGAACAGTGAGTCTTACATTTGATTGTGTATATGCTGTCAGTTTTGAGTTCAATATCATTTAAATCATTTTCCTTAGCAACCTCAATTGCTCGAACTGCAGCCTGTAAAGAAAAAACGAACCATTGTTTATCTGGATGTGAAATAGAAAAGCGGACACACCAATCTACTGAATACAGCGTACGGATGCACCATGTCAACAATGCCCAGTGGCAAAACATCTACTCTATACACTGGGAGACAATCACTTGCCCTTTTGTACTTTCATTTAATAAATATTATGCTTATGGCTTCTAACTTATTTTTTATTTGTTAAGATTACAAAAAACACCACCTGATTTTAGGAATGTTATTTTGCTCACTGACAGGAGTTCCAACTCTGCCTTTGTGCTTTCATCCAAGAAATATATTTTGGTTTTTACAATTAAGATTTTCCAATGACCCAGCCAGGCCGAGGAAAAATTGGGGGAGGGGGAAATATAAAAAAAAAAAAACCTCAGGGGGTTAAACAAAATCACAAACAACAAAATATTTTAACTTCACTACACTGTAATTAATACAGTACAATAGGAGGAACTGGAACAGATTCAACCTACCCTAGTCTAAGTATATGGGCCTGTATTATTATAATTATTAGGCTAGTCCTAACCGTCTACTATTACAGCACTAGCTTAGGCCTAGCCTTGGCATGACTTTTTTATGGTTGGTTGTTGGTAAGTACTACTGTACCACCACCACTCCAGCCAGTCGAGGCAAATTACTACAGTACCTGTCTCTTATACACATCTAGATGTGTATAAGAGACAGAACATCTACTGTATACACTGGGAGACAATCACTTGCCCTTTTGCACTTTCATTTAATAAATATTATGCTTATGGCTTCTAACTTATTTTTATTTGTTAAGATTACAAAAAACACCACCTGATTTTAGGAATGTTATTTTGCTCACTGACATGAGTTCCAACTCTGCCTTTGTGCTTTCATCCAAGAAATATATTTTGGTTTTTACAATTAAGATTTTCCAGGGTTTATTTGTTTTAATACTCGGGAAATTAAATTTTAATGATGTACTGTATCTATGTATTGACATAACTTCAATTCTGCTCTCTGATTGGTCTGATGCCCATGCAATTTCTCACTAACATTCCAGGGATGATCTGGCCCCCAGTATACCCCAATTCCAGCCCGTGCGCCACTTCTTCCATTGGATGTGCAGCATCCATCAGTGTAGACTACTCTTGGTTCTACAGAGTACAAAAAAATAAACAATCTATTAACATGTTATATTTAATGTACTACCTAAAATACAAGCCTATTGTAAATCACTCTTAATTGCAATTTGTATCCTTGGACTGTATAGTCAAAGTGATAGATATATTTATCTACTGTAATTTGCCTTCTTGGAATAACAGGTTGGCAAACTACTATAAACTTTTGAGTACAGTAATAGTATGATATTTAGGCCTTCAATGAACAAAATTTGTTAAAATTATTATTTTAGTTATTATTATGAATAATATTTTATTTTTATTATTATTAATATTTTTATTATATTTTTTAGTTTATTTTTATCATCATTATCATGATGATTATTTTTTTATTGTTATTAAATTATCACCTTACATTATAACTTTAATGAAATATCTCATTCTTACTTTCATAAGATGAAGTGTTATAATTTGAGGCATAACTGTTACCACCATAACCATTTTTTACTCGAATCTTTTTATATGGAGCATCGTATTCTATAAAAAAAAAACAAACAACAAAACAAAAATGAGTAAAGCAAATACTTTTGAGTGTAAATCAATTACAATCTCATTGTTTAAAAAATATGATATTGCATTGCATTTAATTGAACATAATCACCTGTGTTACTGTATGTTGGTCGCTTCTTACTGGCTGTAGCCCCTATAAAATTTGTAGCATCTTCTTGAGTTGAAAACTTCTTAAATTGAGCTCCTTGGAATCTGTGAACTTGAGCCTTGCATTCATCCCTAATAAAAATAAACAACGGAAACACATGAATTTTGATACAATTTTGATAATCAACAGTGCAGAATACAATAAAATTATATACAGTAATTGAGGATAGGATGAGACGACCGTAGGATAATTAACGTTGAACAGTCCAGGGTGAACCCATACTGTAAAGTTATTTAATTGTGCAGACAATACCTGCTCAAATTTGTGCGGAAAATTGCCAGGAAAAGACAAGCACAGAATCGCAAATACTGTACTGCATATTTTGTTTATATATGGATTACTACTACTAGGCCTAATATTTGAGAGGACAATATTGCCCATGCAGGCTTTTACTTTATACAGTTTGGGGAGAATGACCCATGGTGAAAGGGGAAAGAGAAATGACCCAGGCCAAGGAAAAATTGGGGGGGAGGGGGAGAGGGAATATAAAAAACCTCAGGGGGTTAAACAAAATCACCGGGTGGGGTAGGAAAAGTTTCAAGGCCTACCTAGGTAGGGGTAGGCCCTATTTGTGTACTGTTTATTTCAACTTCACTACACTGTACAGACAGTACAATAAATAGAAAGAACTGGAACTGATTCAACCTAACTAGTCTAAGTATATGGGCCTGTATTATTATAATTATTAGGCTAGTCCTAACCGTCTACTATTATTACAGCACTAGCTTAGGCCTAGCCTTTTTTTTATGGTTGGTTGGTTGGTTGTTGGTAAGTACTACTGTACCACCACCACTCCAGCCAGTCAAGGAAAATTACTTTAATATTTTGGTTTTTTTTCGAGGGGCCTATAAGCATCGTTTTACTTGGCCTCTATACCCAGGAGGATCAGACTGTAGAAGACTCTCTTGGAATACAAGTAAACAATAAGTACTTTACTGACTACTGTACCTACCATGTTTTGAAAATCCCAACATTCCGTCCCTTACGCACTGCATAGTACATGTCTTTGCTTCTAAATGAGTACTGCAACAAAAAATGCAAATTTCGGATTAGTAACATTTAAAATACCATCTGCATGTTAAATAATTGCCATTATTTTCTGTTAATTTACGATGTTAATTAACATAAATAGCACTCATTCTTTTCATTCGGAGATTGATCCCATAGAGATACACAATAGCAGCCGGATTCGATTTAATCAATCGACCTTTCAACTTCGATAGCAAGCAACACTGTCTTTAATTTAATACATTTCTTGATATTTGTTGTTTTTAAGTAAAAATCGGTATTTATATAGAAAATTATTATCTGAAGTTATTATTGTTTTTAATTTTTGTGATATAAATAATTACACTGCAAATAAAACAGAACAAGTAAATACATATAAATCCATGATTTCTCTAGCGGTCAGAGGTCGGCCTCTTTGGCCTAATCAAATTGTAAGGAATAGTAGATGTTTTTCTAGTCCTGAAATTCCACTTACATTTACATAGGTTATACATCAAAATACAAAATAAAACAATTTTTCGATTTTAAAGTATCCACTCTTGCTATTTTCGTAGGACTTAAGACTCGATGGCTTGACGAAATTGTGTAATTTTAAAGATAATTACAAGTATACAACGCTGGGTTTCTTATTCATTTATTTAGGCCTATCCCTAGCATAGGCCTAGTCCTCATTTATTTTGCAGCTCTGTCAAACCTCATCGTGTAATACTAGCTGTCTTTAATTTGCACGCATTACTCATACTGTGTGTGCAGTGTCAAATTCTTCTTAATAATAGTCTACGTCTGCAGATTTATTGATGATAGGCCGCCTCTACCTAGGCCTAGCTCGCCTCTACCTAGGCCTAGCTCCTAGCTAGGTACCTAAGGCCAGGGGGCCACCGAGGTCTTCCGGTCGGGGTCGAGGGGCCGAAGGGCCCTGGACGCTTTGGCTTAAATGGCATATCTAATCGATATTTGTGAGTTTATAATGATCTCAGATACAGTAGTTATTGAAAGACAGTTCAAGATAATGAAAGGCATCTTCCCTTATGAAAATTCATTACAAATTGAAAAAGAAACAAAATTTACTCAAATTTTTAGGATAAGCGCAAGTTTTGCCGGTATTTGCATACAATGGTATTCGTAAGATTTGATTGGAATGCGCATGACTTACAGCAAATGCGTACGGGTTGACAGGTCTGTAAACAGAGCTATGTTTAGTAGTAGTTTTATTGTATCCCCAATTAAAGCTTGCAATTAAAATATGGGGCCAGACGCCTTCTAGTTCTTGCTGTGTCCCCCACACAAATATTAAATGCAATATTTACTTCTTTACATTACACATTGTACATGGTGCATTTTTGTTGCTGCCATAAGGTACTCACAAATAACCTAGGCCAGATGTTAAGAAAGCAGCTCTAAAAATGTTAATGTAGGATAAGTTTGCTGTGTTGCTAAATTATTTCTAGTCATGGTAATACTGTATGGTGTTTCTGCACTTTTGTTGACATTAATGGAGTTACCTTCGTTCGTTATTTTTGCATGTTTAGCATTCTCAGACCATGATCTGCTGTGTGTACCCCCTATGTTTAACAAATCTTGCATCTTTTTATGAAATACGTTTGTAACATGCACTTGTATTATAGGGCATATCATATACTGTATCTATACTCTAAGTATATAATTTAGGCATTGGATACATCAAAAAATAACTAGAATTTGAAAATTAAAAAAAAAATATTTGTGCAGAATGTAAATATTGCATGATACAGCATTGGTTTTATATTAAGATATAAGCCAAGGTCAAAGTTTGTCATGAATTTGTAATGTCTGCATTTGAAAGGCGGTACTTCTCTTGAGGCTTCGACCTGACGATTCTGATTGAAAATGTTGTGTTCATTGCCTGTGACTCAGGCTTTTCTTTTATAAAGTTTTATACATTAGTTTTCTATTTTTTTTAACTTTTTATTTACATTTTTGTCATCCACTCATATTGACTGGCATTGTCAAATATGCTGAATTGTAATTATAAGCGTTATATTTTTTATAGAGAAAATTGTTGTACTCTGTCCCAACAAAATAGAATGAATTGCTACATCAATAATTATTCTGTATTACCGTTGTTTTTGTATTGCAGACAAAATGGCCGTGTTCAAGGCGAAGATCATGAAGCCGGAAGGCGAGCATGCTGATGAGTTTGAACTTTCCATTTCCCAGGTTTGTAAAAAATATGCTGAAAAATTATCAGTGATTATTAATATATTATTTAATGAGTAACTTATTTATATTTTTTTTCATTTGGCTTTATAAATTACAGAATTATTAGTATTTACAAGCTCAAGTAAATTTGTAATAATTTATGATTTTGATTTTGAAGTTTCTTTTGTATATTTTAAACTGTTGTATTTAAAGTGTTTTAATGCTTTAACCTAGTGTTTCAATTTGAAGGCAAGTGTATAGTCTTGGGATAATAGAAAACATTAATATGTAATATTTGGTTTTATTTCTTGTTTGTAGGCTCTTCTTGAGCTTGAAATGAACTCTGACCTGAAGAGTCAGTTGAGGGAGCTGTTTATATCGGGAGCAAAGGAGCTTGATGTTGGCAACAGAAAAGCAATCATCATCTTTGTTCCAGTACCACAGCTGCGAGCATTCCAAAAGGTTCAAACTAGGCTTGTGCGGGAATTGGAGAAGAAATTTAGTGGCAAACATGTAGTGTTTATTGCTCAGGTTAGTCCAGGCATAGATGTAGATATAGGCTTATTTCTTTGTTTTCGAGAATGATGTGTTTTTTGCCTTGTAAATTTCTTATTAAACCAGTACAGTTGAATTAGAAGATGAGTCATTCTGCTCCAAACATCATATTAAATAACTCGGAACCACCATCTCCGATGACTATAAATGGTATACACCGATTCTCATTTTAGACTAACAGGTGCTTAAAACTGCTAAAAATAACTCTCCCCTAAATATCTTGTCGACTTTACAAATAACAGATCCAACCTACTATCGGATACTTTTGCTGTAAAAAAAAAATACAATTCTAATGATGATTTATCAAAAGTGTTATCACATACCATTTATCAGAATAAATAGGCCAACATGTACTCTATCTACAATCTATAGATTTTGATAAAATGTTTATACATTTTTTCGTTAAAAATGGATTTATTTTTACTTTTATCTCTCTGAGAACTCATTTCCAGATTTTTTAGCCTGTGTATGAGATGCTTTGTTGAGATGTATTCCCTTTTGGGAATATACAAACCATCTTTGTTTCTAGTTTTGTGACTAAATTTGAACTCTATTAATTTAAGTGAATCAAAAAGAATTGGAATATACTTGACTGAAATCCTCCCCTAGGTACTTTTACTTACTCACTTAGTGACTTCTCTCTCAGTAGCCTGTTCAAAATCACCCAAATCCTTGAATACCCACTGCAATCTTAAGTCTTTCTCAGTGCCGTTCTTGCTTCTTCTGTCTTCTGTTTTGAAGTTTTTCTTTCCTTCCCATCCCAGCTCGAACAACCCATTTCAAATCTTACCTTGCACTCCATCTATCCTACAACTACAATCTAAACCCTACTGAAGCCCTTTATCACTAGTGATTACACTATAGCTTATGCAAACATTATCTAGTTGGCAAGATGTAAGTAAATACTGTACTGGTGGTAAAATTAATGAACTTGTGCTGTGTACAATAGCATGTTCTTTTTTATTTTATTCGTACCCAACATTGCATAGGAACTGCATTTTCTCTGCCTTTTATCAAAATTTATGAATAACAAATGAACAGCGATAGAATTGTTTTATAAATCAAGAAAAATGTTCTGAGTAACAATATTTCCCTTGTGTATTTCTATTTGATTTTACAGAGGAGAATTCTACCAAAACCGACAAGAAAGTCAAGAAATAAAGGAAAGCAGAAGCGTCCACGAAGCAGAACTTTAACAGCTGTTCATGAAAACATCTTGGAAGATTTAGTTTTCCCTTCGGAGATTGTTGGAAAGAGGATGCGAGTAAAGCTGGATGGCTCTAGGATAGTCAAAGTTCATCTTGATAAAGCCCAGCAGACAACTGTTGAACACAAGGTGAGAATTGAGATTTGTTTGTCATTGTTATTATTCGCTGTTGAAACATTTCCTGGGAATAGCAAAACCTGAGGGAAATACAAATATATTTTGTTAGGATATGTTATACAGTGGCCAGATTCATAAGACTCTTGTGTATAAAGCTTTGTCTACACTATCAAAAAAATTCAACTCTTATATTCCATCACACTTTATGTGACACTTTTTTGATACCTTTTGCTCAAGCCTGGCCTACACAAAATCTTAAGAAAATCTAAAGCCGACAGGTTTTCTTTTTTTGCACATATTTTAAAAGCTACTTTCCAGGATTTAATAAATATTTAACTTTGTGGTTATCTTTTTAATTTTCAACTAAAATGCATATTAACTATAGAAGTAGCCTGAGGCCTATAGAATAGGAATTTAAATGACTATCCTAATTTCCTAATGTCACTGTGCATTTTTGGACTTATGCACCATGTGCTGCGAATTGCTCGACAGTATATGCGAGTTCTCACCATTAAAAGAGACCCATCATTAGTGAAATAATATTGAGATATTCACCAAAATAGGTCAGTGTCTGAATTTTTACATAATTTAATGTTTTTGAATAACTTGATACTTATATTTTATGATTGTATACTTTTCAAGTAAATTTACTTACTAAAACAGCGTTCTCTATGCATATTCTGTATTTCTAATCCTATTATTTGTACAGGTTAGTTTACCTTAGAGGCCGATTTTCTCAAAAAGTGGTTATCATACACCTAAACTTTAAATGCTCACATCTCTGGATCTACTTATCCTAGTTAAAGCCTTTAAAAGACCAAATTGAACTATAAACTCAATTTCCTAACCATGAGACTCATTTTGTGGTGAGACCTCACATGTATGTGCATGATGAAACAGCATATTTGTTTTTTCATCAGATAGCATGTTGTATGTGTTACAGTATTCTAAATACAATTTATCTAAGCCTCATAAAATGCCTTAGATTGTAGATGAGCACTTTGCTAATTACTGAGTAAACTAGGTATTATGGTTTTTAAACCAATTACTGTAGCTTATATTCTTTTGCTTCACAACAATATTATCTAAAAATTATACAAATTTATAATTGGTATGCTATTTTTTTTTTTATTGTAGCTTGACACCTACTCAGCCGTCTACAAGAAACTGACGGGAAAAGAAGTTCACTTCCAGTTTCCTGACTACATCCTATAAACGTAAATTGATCACAAAAGTTAAAAACACAAGTCGCAAATGGAATGGTCGATGAATGAGAAAATGTCGTAATAAAAAAATTGTAAAATACCTACCACATGAGTATGTTTTTTTTTTGTTTTCCAACATGAACAATTTTGCTTTTGTTTATTCGCATTAAAATTCTCTAGCCAGGAAAACTCTGGCCACACCCTATATCTTAAGTTGCCAGTGACAAGCTACTGTGTATCGATTTGCTTAAAGAGTCGCTATGTGAAAGTTAATTTTCATATGTGGCCCTTGTTAGCCGCTTGCTATACCACAACACATATACAGTACTTGATATTGCAGTACAGTACATTGTATTCACCTATAAACAGGTAAAAAGAAGTCAATATAAATCCCATCGTGCATCACTTAAGGATTTAGAATTATGTGTTAATTTTTGTTTTGCACCTTGATTTTGTAGGAGCAAATCCCATGCTTAACATGTACATTGTATACCGTACTCGTGCGAATAATGTAATGTAGTGGGATTGACTATAGCGCATTACACCGAAGTCTCAATGCGCTAAAATAAAATAAGAAAAAAAGAAATTCCAACTAAAGATTCTATGCTAACCAACTAAGGAAAGGAATCGAAATGAATAAGCGCCCCTCTTGAAAAGGTGCGCGAAAAATTTCCTTAAGCGCTCCGTTTGAATAAGCGCCCATTCTAATTTGAATAAGCGCCCCTTAATAATTTCATGTGATTTTTTTTTAGCAACCAATAATCCAATCAATCCTGGGACTGGTTGTTGGCATGATTTGAGCTGCAGGAATCACATTCTTCTTAGGTCAATAATAAAAATGAGGATATTTCACTTGGACAGATGAGAGCTTCCTGGACAGACAGTATATTTCCACAATCTTTCTCTTTTTCTTCAATTTTTCCACATTCTTCTTAGGTCAATAATAAAAATGAGGATATTTCACTTGGACAGATGAGAGCTTCCTGGACAGACAGTATATTTCCACAATCTTTCTCTTTTTCTTCAATTTTTCCCTTTTTCTTACTTTCCAAAAGGGGGTACGAGACCAGCCCGGCTCCCTCTAAATCCGCCCCTGCCAGGGGTGGATCCAGGAATTTTAAAGAGAGGGGGCCCAGGGAGGGACTTTGACAGATTTTATACCATAATTCTTATATCGTGTAAAAATTTGATGTTAATGAGCGACACTTGCTGTGAAAATATAGTACTGTACTGAATTGACAAAGTTAATTTTTCTTGCTGGACCAAGCTCTAGTTTTGCTAAAATAATTACTATCCCTTTTACAGTATATCAGCTATTGAATATTGGTCTAGTTTTAATGTAATTTTTGCTAGCCCAGCCCTAAAATACTTAAGTCCCAGACCCAGGACCACCATCTTTTTACAGCACTGAACTCCGCAGTTTCTGTGTATATATTTGGCGGACCCCACAATTTGTAAGCAAATCCCTCAACGTAATTCCCTCCACCATTAGTCCTGGATTCAAATATGATTATTCGATTACCAGAGGTCCCAATACAAGTTAATGGAGTGAAATTTATGGGTAATTTGTCATTTATTGAAGTACGTGTAATTTATGTATACTGATTTTGGTTTATTAATAATATTATGCATATGACATGTTAATTCAACGTGTGTCATGCCATTACCAAAAGCCATTACAAATACTGTATGGCGCAGAACGCCGTGGCTAGAGATATGTAATTATGTCACAGAAAAGTTAAATGAACTATCTATAAATAAAGCTACTGGCTGTGACAATATTCCCTGTAAACTCCTAAAACTAGCTGCACCCATAATTGCCCCCATTATAACACACCTTGTTAATTACTCGTTTACAACTTGCAAATTTCCAACAAATTGGAAACAAGCTAATGTACTACCCATTTTTAAGGCTGGTGATCGTAGCAACCCAGATAATTACCGTCCAATTTCTGTACTAAACGTAATTTCTAAGATAGTTGAACGAGCTGTTTTTGATCAATTATATGACTATCTAAATAATAACGGTCTTTTAAATAATAACCAATCAGGCTTCCGTCCGAATTACTCCACAACTACAGCACTTGTAAATATTACAGAAAAATGGTTTGATGAAATTGACAATGGTAACTTAATTGGATTATGCATGCTCGACCTGAAAAAAGCGTTCGACACTGTGGATTATAACATACTCTTTAATAAACTAAAAATGTACGGATGTAGTAAATATTGTATTAGCTGGTTTAAAAGCTATCTAACTGATCGTACTCAAACTACTTGTATTAATGGTATAAAATCAGAAACTTTAAATATTAAGTGTGGAATACCTCAGGGATCTATTATTGGACCACTTGCTTTTTTAATTTACATCAATGATTTACCAAATTGTATCTCTCATTGTAATATAAGTCTCTATGCTGATGACACTGCCATTTACTATGCCTCTAAATCTGCAAATAATATTGTGCAATGTTTAAATAACGATTTATCAAATATTAACTGTCTCGAAAGCAATAAACTAAGTGGTATATATATGTTAAAAAAGGCAAAACCATTCATTCCTCAATACACTCTTTTAAATGTATACAATAGCATAGTTCTTCCTCACCTCCAGTATTGTAATGTTGTATGGTCTAATTGTGGAGTAACAAAAGCCAAACGTTTACAAATAATCCAAAATAGAGCAGGAAAAATAATTTGTGGGGCATCTTGGGATACATCCAGCATAGAAGTCAGAAACCAACTTAAATGGAAAACACTTTTAGATATGCAAGCTTTAAATCGCAATATATTTGTATATAAAATTCTTTATCATTTGTCACCAGCCTATCTTTTGAATATGTTTAATTATAATATAAATAATTACAACTTAAGACATAACCAGAAAAATGTTGTTCTGCCATTACCAAAGACTGAATATAAAAAACGTAGTCTTTCCTATAAAGGGGCATTGGAATGGAACAACCTGAATGTTGACATTCAAACAGCTCCAACACTGCGCTCATTTAAATTCAAATTAAGTCAACTTTAAGTCTCTAATCATCTAATCATTTTATCTTGTTCTGATTGTTCCTTGTTGTACAAATGTTTTTATACCTTTTATATATTGTATTGTAATTATTGTATTTATGTATTATTGTGCACGGCCCCAGGGAAGAACAACCCTGTGTTGATCTGGTCCTCCGTGGATAAATAAAGTTGAACTGAACTGTACTGGTACCATATCGGAACTTCCGATTGCTAAAGGTACGGTAAATGATATTACGCCATGATTAGCCAATAGAAACGCCGATACATGCGTGACTTCATTCAGTACGCTGCTGCTGCTGCAAGAGTAGTGAGTGTGTGTTTTAGCAGCATCGAAGTCGATCGTTCGCGGGTGTTGTTGATGCTGTGATTAATATTCTGTAGCCCGATGCCCTATAGCAAATAAAAAGGAAAGCAGTTTTGCTAAATTTGGCGACATCAAGCGAGAATAAACTATTTTAATAATAGAAGCCAAGCCTAGGCCTTAGCTACTCCTGAAACCTCCTCTAATCTAAGCCTAGTCTAGTAGTACGCCTATAATAAGTATGCCCTACTACTAGGCGGGTGTTCGGGCTAGGCTTTAGGCCTAAGCCTAGCTTAGTAGACCATTCTCTATGGTAGACCAGACCATAAAATACGCAAGAATAACAGAAAGGATTTTTAACCCAAACATTGTGATAAGCCCCAATCGAAATACATGAAATGGGCCTGAGTTTTATGACAATTTTGATCGTAACTGTTCGCGCCACGTTTCTCATGATCGCGACGTCGACTTCGCAAAAAAGCCAAAATCGAGTCGGTCATTTCTATTGGCCAATCATGACGTAATATCATTTACCGTACCTTTAGCATTCGGAAGTTCCGATACGGTACCGTATCTCTAGCCACGGCGTTAACCGAATTAACAGTTAAGATAAGATAAGATAAGATAACTTTATTGTTCCACAAGGGAAATTCTTCTGCTCGTCATCACATACAGTATTATATTAACAAATGTAAAACAAATATAAAGTGGGAAACAATAGGCAAAATAAGTCATTTTCAGGTTTTATTGAATTTGGTGGTGATGCAAAGGTATGGAGTTGTTTAAATTGTAAGGAACTTAAATGAAAGAGAAAAATGTTGTTTAATTTTTGAAAATACACTATACACTTAGGAGCCATTTTATTATTCACAATGAAAATTCTATTTTTTCTGGGAAAAACTAAAAATTCTGGGAAGCCTAGATTCTCCTTTAAAAATCTGGGAAACAAATTTATGGAGACTTGGAAGTTTGGATTTCGGTACAGTAATTACGTTATTTGGGAAAACCCCATGAACCGGAAGAGAAAGGTAACAGTCTTTCATCACAACTACGTGGAATGCCTCAGTGAGCGTTGCTTTAATTACAGCAGAGGAAAACGCATTTCACCGAGAGAAAGCAGCGTACGTTTTCATGTAAATTGTAAAAATTTTGGCTTTTTAGCACAAAAATTAGCTTGTCATTATTATATATCCCGGTAATTTGGTGGAAAGTATTTGTTTATTGAATTCTGCAGCTTTGATTGGATTGGCTTTTTTTCTTAGAGGCGCAGTTCTACCATTTGTGACTTTACAGTCAGTTTCAAATGAGTACTGTAGTAGGCTACTCAAACCACGTATTACAGTACATATAGTTTATTATTACTGTGATATATTTGGTGGTTTCATTTTTTTCCAATTTAAGAACAGCTAAATACGGACGATACAAATGGCTAGTGAACGCGATTATAAAAATGTAAACGTCGAACTTATGAAAAGAAATGTGAATAAACATAAGGAAAACCGAGACCAAATGTCACCAATGGAGGAGCAAACGCTGAAAGAAATACTCCGAGAAATAAAGCAATGGAAGCCGTATGGGACTGTTATCCAGCATGAGATGCCTAGAATCGTCGTTTTTGGAAAGTACGGAAGTGGCAAAAGTTCTCTTCTGAATAGCCTCTCTTGGGTTATGAAGTTTGAAAACAAAGACAACCCTGGTAAATTTATTGAGACCGTTCCTTGTTCACGACAGCGTGGGACCCATGGTGGAGGAAACACCAACCGCCTCCTTGTCCATAATGTTGGTGGGATTATGGATTTTGTTGATACGAAAGGATTTCCTGCAGGCGCCGTGCGAAAATGTACATATGAAATCAAACAGATATGTGGTGAGTGACGTTCAGGTAGCAATCCCGCGGGCCATCTCCGGCCCCCAAGTGCGTGTTATTTTGGCCCGCGAGATCAAGCCGAAAATAATTTTGCATTCTGTTTTGACGACTAGGCCTATTGCCCCTAAAATTTTAGCGATTTAATCAATCATATTGGAAGAACTATCGCAGCAAACATCCAGATTTACGAAGAAGGCCGGCCCCGGTCCCCCTTGGAAATTTAAAAAAAAAAAAAAAAAAAAAAAAAAAAAGAAAGAAGGAAAAAGAGGTTATTTTCGGGCGTTTAGAAAACAAATATTTCGCCGGGGCGGACCCCCTAGAGTAGTGTTCATATGGATCTTAAGATCAACATTTTCGACCATGGGCACAGCGGGAGGCACGCTGTCCACGGGCTGGTATTTTCTGGTTAAATGACCATTTTTTGTGTTTACGGACATCTCAGGATTCGCCCCTGAAGACTACTGTATTACCGATGATCCATTGTGTGATATAGAACATTTTGACTTGTTTACTACCAAACACACAAGGGTAACTTTCGTAGGTCAAGATGCCCTGTATAAGGGCGGCTTATTATTTTCAATAACAATTTATAATTCGGGAAGGGAGACACCGTCCTTTAAACCCTCCATCGCCTCGCACCTGCAGCTTGCCCTGGTCCTTCAAATTTATTAAATAAAACAGTTTTGACCTTTATTGCGATATAGTTGATATAGTCGAGGTTTGTCTCACCATGGTCTCACGTATGAGGACCAAATGTAATATTGTTTTCATACGTGGGCCTAAATTCATATCCTTATAAACAGTTGAAATACAGAATAACCGAACGTATAATCCCAGTTTGGTGTTAAAAACGTTTTTTGTAGACCCATATGTACGTACTTACAACCGAATTTCACAACCTCAAAGCGTTTGAAAGTTTCTACAACGTTGTGTGAACGTTATTTTGTGACATGCCAAACCATAACGGTCGTGAACGTTATAAAACTTTTGTGTTTGTTGGGATGGTGAAGTCTGTAATGTAAATATGATATTCACCTCTCTGTTATGCATTATTGTACAAGTAGATAGGCATGTTGAGTAAAAACGTTTACCTTTTTGAATTGTACTGGTCAAGGTCTACCAGACCAGTGAGGTTGGATAAATATGTTTGTCATATGTATTTATTTAGAAAATCGCTTTTGTAAGTTCCATGATACATACTACTCTTAATTCTTTGAACAAGTTCACCACACCCAACATTTTCTTGTTAGATTCTTCATTTAGATTGTTCTAATAAAATCATTAATGAGTAATAGTAATAATTACAGGCGCATAAGAATACAGTAATAATAATTTATTGAAACAACACCCTTATATCGGTGGCACACGCTCATAATGGTGCGTTCACAAACAAAAAATCAAGATGCCCAAGTATGAAGAAAACCATAAAAATCACAAAGTAAATTACAAAAAGAACAATTTGGATACAGTACACCGCGACAAGTCCAAACACATCGAATTTGTAATTGTAACTTTCAATTCCTTTCGGTTTGCCATGCTCGTGTAAGATAAAATTTACAAAACCTGTCAAAACTCCTTAAAAAATTCACTACAGTACTTAAAAAAGTGAATCCCTCACCAAGAACATATAAAAGTTTGTTATCATGTTCATAATCAAATCGTTATTAAGTATTATTAATTGATCTTCCCTTATAGAATGTAATGCATTACATATAAATAATAATGGGTGAGATCTTTCAGATTACCAGAGTTACATAGGGTACAAAGTACATCATTATTTTCGGTCTATTTACTTAATTTAAAATCCAGAGGCAGAGTATTCGAATGAGCTTTCAGAACCACGAAAGGATTTTTCTACGCAGTTATTAAATTTATAACGTAATTTCATGGGGTCTGAATTTAATTTAATAAGTGATCTAATCATTATATTAGGCCATCTCTCATCATTCATTCTATGTAAGTGGTCAAAATATTTCATTCTTGATATATTGTTGTTATGGATAATGGCATCCAACCAAAATCTCCATATAATGCCGCTTTTGGTGTATAATAAGCTGATGCTTTCAAAATGTATTTTGCCATCTGCATTTGAATTCGTTGTAGCAAGGCAATTAAACAGAAGGACGCACATCTTGGAACATCAAAGCATGGATGTATTATTCAGAAGGAGGTCACTCGGCAACAGATCCCTTTGACGCGACAAACCTATGTGTTCCCATAGAGCTATTCTTATTATATCTCTATGTGTGTTCCCCGCTTTTGGATCGCGCGCGGGCGTATTACCCTATAATTCACATTTTTTCGTTAGCAACAACTTGGCAACGACATGCATTTATAGCTGTCTCTCTTCCAGCAGAGCAGTTGTGCAATAAAACGTTTGATTTTAACCCATTAAATATCTTTATAATGAACAATGTTCCCCCGATTAGATTTTTTCGGGCTTTTGGTATGTTATTGTATATTTCAGGAACGGATTCCGTAAAATATTTGTGTTAAAATTACTTCTGTGTTCATTATAATTTTGTCTAAAGATGGACTGGTTCGACTATAAAGCTAAGTCAGCGTAAAACTGAAAAATACTCAGATTTTGGATTCATTTTTCGAATAGTTAACCCTCATTAACCCTAAAATGACTTAGTTTATTATAATCCTTAATCATTTATTAATTAATATCTGTTAAAATTAGAATTGGCGAGTTTTGGCCAATTTATGAAAATTGAAGTTGAAATATACTATACTTTTATAGGTCATGTAAATGTTCCATTAAATTCGAAACTTTTCTTGGAAGAAAATATTAATATGTTTGATATTTTATGAGAGATAAATGTATCAGCTTCAAAATAGAAAAGATTGCGCAGCCATAGTGATTGACAGTATGTAGTGCGCATTGAGAAAAGAAGGTGTTCTCCATTTCGTCATGTTCAATTTTTTGGTCAACTATGCCTGTTGAAAATTTGATGGCGGGGAACACATGGGACTTCAAAAGCATCGCGCAAACGTTCTTTACGCGCTTCGGCAACTTTGATCTTGGTTCATTTGCATAGCGCTGCGTGCGCGTGGCTTTGCCGAGTGATCTCCTTCTCAATAATACCTCCATGGTTGTAGCCTCTCAATATCTGATTTTGAACCACCCAGTATAATTACTAATAATTGATGGCAAAGCAATTGTTTGCCATAGAATATTACCATAAACACTCTTTTAAAATAATAAAAATTATCAATTAACGATTTAACATACGAAACTAACCATAGAGTTCTATTTTCTCTATGAACTAACTAACCTATTACCTTTTTGAGTGACGTTTTCAACTTGTGTATATGTTCATATAAGTTTCGTGAGATAAAAACTCCGAGGTATTGATATTATTTTTATCTCTTTCAGCAATATAATGATTGCCAAGTGATCATTGTTTAAATTTATCAATTTTTCCAAAAATAAGTACTTTTGATTTTTTGAAATTAAAATCAATTTCAATCTTTATAAAAACATCCTGCTAATTGCAGCATCTGTCATGTTCACTATTGGCAATGATGATGGGATGAGTCATAAAAGATAAAAATAAATATAGGCCTAAGACCTGTCCTAGAAAGATCACTACAGTAAACAACACCACATATTTCTTGATAACCGAATGCCCATTTCTAGTATCTTTGATACTTTATTACTAAACATAATACCTGTATAGTAAGGTAGTCTTTCAAAGTTGTGGAGTAAGAGTGTGTGTAAAACACAAATGTACAGCATTATTTGTTTAATAAAATAATATTTAATTTCTATGAAATGAAATTTTATCAATGAGAAAACAGATAATGTCAAAATATTGTATATACATGGAGGCTTCATGATCAAAAGTTCTTGACAGGATTTGGTATGTTGTTCCCTGGCACGGCTGGGCTGCTGGGCCGCGGCTTGGTGCCTGGAATCGGTAAATAGGCCGTGAAGTAAAATGTTTGCGGAACGCTGATCTAAGCTACTTCGGAACAATTATCATCAAGTATAATAGTATCATCAGAAACAAAAATACCATTACGCTCTCCATTTCTATCAATTCTATTCCTACTAAACCATTTACATCCTTCAACTGAAGGCTCCATCATGTGTTTTTTTTTTTTGTTTTTTTTTGTAATGTTTCAGCTACACCAATGCAATTTCTTTTTTTTGTAATGTTTCAGCTACACCAATGCAATTTCATACATCTTAGCCCTAAGGTGATTTACACAGTTTTAATTGTTGTATCCTGACTTAATCTATTTTTTTTTTATCTCTTTTACCTCCTCACTAATGGTTCGGTGTAAGCGATCTCAGGTTTATAAGACTCGTTTGAAGTATTACCATGAAATCTATGCGCGCCACAGTGTAAAATTCGAAAAAAAAAAAATTAAATTTAAAATAAATTGTAGCTGAACTCCTACTACTATAATTTATGATTTTCTGTTCACTTCTCGGGGCCCATTCGTCCTTTAATCTCAGTCTGCCGTCACTGAAACAGATAACTAACTGTTAATCAATAGCACACCTACATGATGCTGCTTATTTGAAACCTGCGCATTTCCAAAGAGTATCAAGAGGCGATAGGAGCAATTAAAGATGGTACAGGTAAATCAACAAAAACCATATATATTATTTGGTCTGTTATAAATATTATAGTGGCCGCATTTAGTATTTTTGCGCATGTACTGCATTCTTGATGACATAAAATTATCAAATAGATCGGAAAAGTTAAATCTCAAAATGTCTCTGTTCATTTTCGGGGTTACTGTTTTTTGTTTGTTTTATTAACGATACCTACTTGACTCTGTAATCTGGGTGACTTTTGAGATTCAAAATTATAATTTGAAAACTTGTTTGAATGCATGTCATACCACTACTTCCTAAAACCGGTTACAATTTGATATAATCTGTACATGCTGAACCATTTTTAAAGTCCAAAAATAATATTCGAAAAAAAAAATTGAATTCAAATTATAGGAACAACATCATTATAATAACAATACCGTTTAGCTAAATGGTTGACTATTAACTTCGAGGAGTTATCTCGGTCTCTGGTTAATTATTACTATTGTTATCGTGCTCCAGGGTAAATATACACGTACACCCTTCCCTCTCCCTCAGCAAATATTTGGATTTACTTTTTAATATAGTCAGCGATGCATCGAGAGATGCAGTTTAATATCCAGTAGTCTCAAATACAGTTATAATTAAACACGTAACACTTTTGCTGAAACCTTTCTTTTTCCCGTAAGCCATGAGAAATCCTTTACAATACTTTAAAAGCATCTCGACTTTTTTTATTTATCTATATTGGAGGGTTGGGAGAGGGGGTGAATGGCAATAAAACAAAAATCATTCACACGACTTGTTTGGTATTAAGTGAAACCCGAACGTTCAACTAGCAGATCGTCAGTGGTGTAATCTAACGTACGCGTTGCAATAACAGTATTGCGTGTTATCTTCCGTGACAGGCTGTGCCCCACTCATTGTTGTTACTTCTAAAAGAGAAGTCGAAGGTGAAGAGAACGAAATGCACTCGCATCTCACAGGAATAGGTAAGTGTAATTACAGGATCATGTCCCGCTTACTAGAAATAATTCGTAGAACGCCGTAAAATAAAATACAAGTTTACAGTATTTATTCACTGATCTACAAAATATTTATGACAGGGATACAGATAGTACAGAAGCACGTTAGTGCCACCAGTGAATTAAAATTTCAGAGCCGTTAACAGCCGGTCGCCAGATATTTATCTGGCGGCCGCCAGATAATTAAGTGGCGGCCGCCACATAATTATCTGGCAGCAGCCACTTAACGGCTCTGAAATTTTAATTCACTGGTGGCACTAATGCCACTAACGGGCTTCCGTAGGATAGGGACAGGGATATGTGGAGTGTAGTATAGACATCTTCAATGTTTACATTGGCCTGGCTGAAATTCCGGCAACGCACCCCCCCCCCGCCCCCGGTAGGCAAAATATTTGCCGAGTATACAAAGCAGTATAATGCTTCTGATTATCTGTATTTTTGTTGTGCCCAAATACGAAAGCAACACGGATGAAATTTACATGGCATAGTTATATATATTATGTTTTTTTTTATTCAATATTTACAGTACGTAAAGTCTACGGCTCTGTTGCCTACCAGTGGAGTGCGCCGCCATCCATTCAGCCAGGCCAATGTAAACATTGAAAGGGGTCTTTAATTTCTTTTTACTGGCGAAATTAATTTATATATTATTATTATCATCATCAGGTTCCTCACGGGCTTTGTTCATTGATAATTATCTGATAGATGATGAAGGAGAAGGTCCCACGGATGACGATGTTGACTTCACAAAGCACCTCGCCCTGTGTAAAGTCCTTCAAGCTATCCAGTGTGACTACGACCAACATTTGAAAGGTTTACAGGCAGACAGAATCGACATAGATAACATAGATAACATGACAAAGATAAAATACATAGTTCTAGGCTTCTTGGTACTATATATGATTTTTAAGCTATTTTAGCTCAAACAGCACCCACGCAAACATTCGGTACTAACACTTACAGTGTATATCCAATTTTTTCCCCATTTTTCTCAAATTTTATTAATTGGTATTTCCATCGTTCTTTAAACATATTATCCTAACATTGCATTTTAACGTGCTTCGTAATGTCTCCTTGTATTATATCTACGTGTCTGTTTTGTACTTGTTTTACCCATGGATACACTACGTTTAAGTGTGTGCTAATGCATAAATATCTGCATAAAAGTGTATACTGTACTGTATTCAAAAAAGATTATTAATACTAGGCCTATGTGCTCACACGTCATGTCACCCAGTCGTAGCTAGGAAATCAGTAGTATATACTATTTAAGATATATATATATATATATACTGTATATATATATATATATATATATGCTGCATTGGCAAACAAGATAATGAAAACAAAAGAACTCCGGGGAGATGGTAATAAGTTGCCTGGTATATTTATTAAGTCAAGTCAGCAAACGTATTCGGTTATCAACCTTTATCAAGTTCAATCAAAGCTTGACAAAGATTGATAAACAAAAAAGTTTGCTCATTTCACTAATTTATTTCGTTTATTTGCGCTATATAAATCCATCTATTATTATTATTATTATTATTATTATAAATATACCTGCAACTTATACCATCTTTCCGGAGTATATAGGCAATATTATGTACTCAATCACACATATTTCAAAAAGTTTCTTTTTACAAGGTTACATCATATAAGGCTGATAGATCGGTTATAATTAGTAATTGACCAAGATGGTGAAACGTATTTCGATGACATAGGCTATTGCTAATTTGTATTAGTAAATGTTGCCGTTTATATTATTAGCACCATGTTAAGACTACCCGCCTGTTACCAATACTTGGTAGCTTCATTGTTTACTAGCGTTTGTGACAGTTGAAATGCAAAATATGCTATAACCATGGACCTATTAATATTATACATATTAATAGGTCCATGCTATAACCATGGAGGCTAATCCTATGCTATAACATAAACGGTAAGCCTACGTTTTGAAGACTTTAGAACCTGACGACTGTTTTTCCCCTAGAATGTCCCTCTGCTACATGATCAAATGCTTTAGTTACATCCTCGATATTAAATATTTTTTCGACAACTGGTCGCACCTGTAAAAAAATTGCAAAACACTGTAAAGGATAGGCCTACAATTTAACAACAACAGAAACACTAGCTTTGGTTTGCATGGCGAAGTAAGCCTACCACTATTAAATGCTTGCGGAGAACTTTTCCTACTGTTGAGAATGTCTCTCGACGCTTCGATTGAGTTGCTTCAATCGTCATCAGAAGAATAATATAGGCCTACTTAATTTATTTTCAGATATTATTCTTAAGAATATATATAAATTAAAACGTAACAGGAGAGGAATTTGATAAAAATAAAACTGATACAGTAATTAGGTTCACAAACCTTTCTGTCGTCTACAAGTCTACGAACATATTTCAAAGCCTTTCCATTTGGCGAAAAGAATCCCCAAGAAAATCGTTTGCCAAAAATTAAACGCTAAAAAAAATGAAGACCGAGTAATTATTTACCTTCTGTCTATATTTCAACATGTTTAAATTATTATTGGAGCAAAATCTTATTGTTACATTGTTTAAACAAGGTAAAAGTATTTTCAATCAAGAAAAATTGTACCGGTACAATCATGAGTGAGCAATAATCGAAACCTAATAAAAGCAGCATGCGGCCTCTCTATACATTATAAAAAGGTATCACAGGCGAGCACTCGAGGTTAATTGGATCTTGGAAAACTTAATCAGTAATTAATTTCAATAGCAGGAAAGGCCTGTTTAAGAGTAGATTAGTTACAAGCATGTTGTCTTCATCAGACCCTTGCCAATATCCAAACATTCATCTTTCGCGTAGAATGGAGTTTAATATCAAATGTTTGTTTTTCCATGTGACTGATTCATTGGTTGTTTGCGTATTCATTGATTATTTGATTGATTGATTAATTGATATTTGATTCGTACCTTTAGTATACTAAGTTGTATGTATCGCCAGAAGACCTTGACGCCTCCAAGCACAAGGCCATGGTCATCAACAAGGGGCATTACGGGTGAAACAAGAGAAACAATTCTGCCTCCCCATTTACATGCACTAAAGCAGGAACTGTACATAGTCGGACCAATAGTATCTAAAATTAAGTCAAATCTTGACAACATATAAACGAGGAATAGAAAAATAAAGATAAAAAATGGATGGTTTGATAGCTTTCATTATCATAGTTATAGTCATTATCGTTATCTTCATTATAATCATTATCAATATCATCACTATCTTGATTAGATATTATTATCTAAATATCAGTTATAATAATAAATTCTCTATTATAATATGTGTATAATTTTTTTTCTTCATTTTTTTGATAAAAACATATTTATACACTATAAAATTTCAGACAAGATGTAACAGTCTGTTTTTATTGTCGTAATTATCGTCGTCTTCATTATCACCATCATCATTATCGTTTATTATAATTTATATTACCATATTAATATCTAAGTATCATTTATGTTAATAAATTCCTTATCATATTATGTGTATATTCTAATAGTCGTTTAAAATATTGTTTGAAGGTTTGATTGGCGAAGTAACAATAATAATAAATGTTTATGGTGCACCATGTAGATAGTTTTGAAAGAGAACTGTTGTTTTTGTTGACACTGTCTTGAGTTGCTCAATCGTCTTCAGGAAAATAATAGTTTATAAATTGTATTTTTTATTTAAATATTTAAGAATATTATTATTATTATTATTATTATTATTATTATAAATACCACCATTATCACTATTATCCTTATTAATATTATTATTTTTTCACTTTTTATTATAATTAATTAATTATTAGTTAGAATTAACATAGATATAATATATATTTTTTTAATTTATTGTGAAGTTTGTATATTCACTTACTTCGGTTTGCCTTCTAGAGCTTCAGACAAATCTTGAAGTTTGTAATCAATTACGTCATCAACACCAAGTTTTTCAACCAATGAAGCTCCAGTAGAGCTGCAAGTTGTGGTGACATCACATCCCCATGCTTTAAAAAGTTGAATAGCAAATGTTCCTATTCCACCGGTGCCACCAAGTACCAACACTCTTCGTATAGAAAAAGTATATTACATTACAATTTCTTGCATTTATTTCCATCATAACGTTTATTAAAATTGATTTGCGCACTTCATAACAGGAAAATAAATCCTTGCCATTTCATTAGGTAGGCCTAGTGTGGCATAGTATTATCAACTAATTGTAGATTCATTTTTGAAATACTTTTATCATTCTTCATATAATTTAGGTCCATTTTCATTCATTCTTTCATTCATTTTCTCCATTGTGCGTCTCTTTATGCAATGCTTTCATTCGTTGAAAGCAAGTGGACTGTTCCATTCGGAAGGAAGGTAGACCAACTTTTTGAAAATGACAAAAATTTATTTTAGGTGTGTCGTAAAGCAAATAATAACAGATAAAAACAATTTTACTCGCAATGGAAAACATGTAATTATTAGTTGAAAGATGAACTTTTCCTTTCATCAAGTCATGAAATATTCATTCCATTGCGCTCATAAACATTCATTTGTTTATTATACAGTAGTACATTCTCTACGCCGCATAAGCTGACGGTTCATTCTGAAACTGATTAGTACAATTGAATGCGAATCAAGCTGTGCTTAATTAAGTAATCTGATTGATATTAGGACTAATAAATGGTTATAATATTCTTTAACACCTCTCTATTTACTTGGAATGTATTCTCTGCTCTGCAAACATAATCAGTCAATCTATTGGTTGAAATTAAAATTTTCCCATTCGAATGTATATGCATGGTCATAGACGTACCTTTTTCCTTTGGCATCTTCCTCCGAGATGCAACCTTCTATGGCGCTCCAGACTGTTAGAAATACATACGGAATTGACGCTGCTTGTTCGAAGGTAATGTCCCTTGGTTTAAGGCTAATTTCCCCTTCTTTCACCACGACTAATTCTGCTAAACACGCATTGGGCCGAGCAACATGAATTGCACCCCAAATCTGTAACAAAAGCAGATGAATACGAGAATGTCAATTTCAGAGTACCGTATCTAATATTATAGAAAGAGATCAATCTTTTCAGACACTATTCATTATCCAATATCCCCTATTTAGCAGGAATAAAGCTTATTTTAATTTAAAAGAAATTATAACGATTTACCTATGGCCATCGATGTGCCTCTGACCCTCAATTGGCCTATGGCTCTCGATTTGGGGTACACTGTATGGTAGGTACACTTACCTCTTGACCTTCTTTGAACTTCTTGACGTTGTTCCCAACGGCTTCAACTATACCAGCACAATCCCTACCAAGGGTTATAGGGAATTCCTTTCCATCTCCAGCGGGATACTACTCATGTGGAAACAAATGGTATAAATATTAATAGTAATTGTTATTGTCGTGATGGAATAATAGACAATAACTGGATTTGCGTCAGGAGAAACATGTATAGGTGTAATTTTGCCCTATCTGACGTGGAAATGTACCGAATACTCAGTACATTTGAAAACAACTGCGAAAAAAATCGCAAGTTGTTCTCGGGTGGGACTCGAACCCACGATCTCCAGATCACTAGCCTGGTATCATACCTCTAGACCACCGAGATTGCGCCTGATGGCCAGGGTTGAATTCGAGTCCAAGTAAGCAGCGGGTACTGCAGTGTTGATAGTAATTGTTATTGTCGTGATGGAATAATAGACAATAACGGGATTTGCGTCAGGAGAAACATGTATAGGCAGTTGTTTTCAAATGTACTGAGTATTCGGTACATTTCCACGTCAGGTAGGGCAAAAATTACACCTATATATAAATATTAATACTGTTTAAAAATTATTATTTATTATTATTATCATTATAATTATTTATATTATTATTAGTGTCATTATTATTCATCAATAATAATAATAATAATAATAATAATAATAATAATAACAATAATAGATGAAGATGATGATGATGTTCCTGTTGCTGTTTATAATGATTATGACGATGAATGGTGATAAATGATGTTCGTATTGAATATAGGCCAATGTTAGCAACATGGAATAACAGCCGTAACGTTTCCAACCGTAAAGTTAATGATAGATCTACATACAATTTGTATATGTATAACTATCTTTCCAAAGGCTACAAGAGACAACCGAGTCACAATATATTAAATAATGATGATGTAAGGTAAGTGTTTCTAACATACGTTAAAACCTCGTCTCATCTTGTTTAGAATTACTCTTCCGTATCCTGTACTAATTCTTAAATCAATTGGATTGATGGAAGCCGCCTTCACGCGGATCAAGATTTCATCGTCCATGAGCTTTTCAGGACGAGGGTTGTTATCGGTCAGCCTTATGACATCTTCTCCATACTGATCAATAGTAGCCGCTTTCATTCCATCTTTACATGCACCTCTTGGCTTCCGTTTCATCTGTTCTTCTTTTTTCTGTTTATTTGATTGAGTGAAAAAGGACATAGCGGCCGCGATGATGAAAAAAACTGCCAAAAACCAACGAGAAACTGCAAGAAAAAATATATTTATACTTTACAGATGTATAGTAACTGTTTATAAATGTTAAAAAATACTCTACTGTGATATTATGTGTGGGTGATTTTGGTCTGTGTTTTTTTTTTTTGAATTACCATCATATTTGGGAATTCTCCAGCACAAGAAATGTATTAGCGTTCCGATACAGCGTTCTATTGATTTATAATTTGGTAGACTGGTTGCTTAACTGATTGATTGACTGATTGATTGATTGTTTAGTTAAATGATTGATTGATCTATTGATTGATCGATTTACTGATTTATTTATTGATTAACTGATTATTACTTACTTGGAATATCACTCACAAAATATTCAAAATCATTTGGAATAAAAATGAGCGACAGCATCGCCAAGATTGCAAAAATGGTTGGCACCAACATCTTGGATTCTGCAAAGGCAATTAGAATTAGGCCTACTATTATTACCATCATTATCATCACCATCTTCACCATCATTATCATCATCATCATCATCATCACCATCGCTATTACCATCATCATCATCATTATCATTCATCATTATTATTAGTA